CCAATCCACCCCCTATGGGCCCTGTGGGGCAGAGCATAGACACAGCCTCGATCTGTCCCCTATGGGCCCTGGACAGCAGAGAATAACCACAGTGCAGTGCCACCTGATATACCACATCCTTTATGGGCCCTATGGGGCAGAGAATAGCCACAGCCCAGTGCGCTGTGGGGTCCCCCCTCCATGTCGAGAGCTGGCCATGCAGAACAGGTGACACAGCCAAGCACAACTGCCACCAGGAGGTGGCCCTGGTGCGGCGCCCCAGACTCCTCTAGGTGCCAGTGACTTCCAGGAGGGCTCTCAGAATGGGGACAGAACCGGGTGCTGAAGCAGGGGAAAGGGGGTCTGCCCTGAAGGGCCCAGCTTACGCCTGGACGGTGTCCACCTCAGCCGGGCACCAGCCCTGGATCTCACAGGTCCGCAGGCTTCTGTTGTAGTTCACACACCGGCCAGTCAGGATTCCTGCGAAACCGCCCCCTATTTATTAGCACCACAAGCCCCACTCCCAGCCCCTCCACCCTGCCTCCTGTGCCCACATGGCTCCCTGCTGCCACCCCCACAGAGCCCAGATCCAGCAGAGAGGTTTGAGTCGGCTACCACCTCCTAGCTGGCCAGCATGGCCTTTCGATCACGCCAAGGCAGCTCCTGATTTTATATCCGGAAGCGGCAGGTTCAGACACTGCCCCGCATCAATCCATCCATCCACCCCTGCTTCTGCCACTCATCTATTCTTCACTCTCTCCTCCCTCATCCCCACCACGCAGACTGTTGCTGCTCCCTCCTGGCCACCGCACCATGCTAGGGCCTCCGTCCACCATTCCCACATGCTAGGCCCCAGCCTCCTGTTGGAGCTGCTGTGTGGTTCTGGGGTCTTACCGCCTCCTGTGGTAGGGACGGGCCTCTGGCAGTCGCTGTCAGACACACAGCTGTACTTCACTTCGCTCTGGAAAAGGAGAGCAAGGGGGAGGCAGGCAGAGGGAATGAGCCCCAGGGACAGACACGCAGGCACATAGATAGCTCCCCCTCTCCTGCCTCCGCTCTGATGGTGGTGACTGTGACATTGCAGTCTATATGGTTTTATAAAAATAAGCTAATGAGTGAATATAATGTAACTGGAATATGCTTCATGCAAAAGGTCTCTTGTAAGGTATCATTACAAAGCTTATTGTCTACTGAGTGTGGTCATCCTATTTGTATAAATGTACCACTCTTGTATCTGAAACTAGAAATATGAAATATAACTCTGAGGGCCTATTGTAATTATGCAAAGTGTGGGCCATTAATGGTGGTTTGGAATCTTAATGGCTCCCATCAACCAGGACAATTGACTGGGGCTCTGTTTGCAGGCAGCCTTCCTGTGAGTCAGGCTGGGGGGAATGAAGGCTTGGGGGGGGGGGTGTCTTACAGTGACATGTGATCATGTCACATGAACTGGAATCCATCTTTAACCTGGTGCTTTTCCAGTGAGGGGGGGTGGAAACTCAGAGGGACAAAGGGTTCCCGCCTTATACAAAAGATATCTAAATGGGTTGAACAGAACAGAGGGGAGGAGCCATCATGAAGAATCCCCTAGCTACCACCTGAGTTGGAACAAGAGCTGTACCAGGGGAAAGAATTGTGCCCAGGCCTGGAAGGTGTCCAGTCTGAGGAAACAACTTACTGAAGCATCTCTGAGGGTGAGATTATCTGTATTCAGTTTGTTTAGACATAGATTTGTGCATTTTATTTTATTTTGCTTGGTGACTTACTTTGTTCGGTCTGTTACTACTTGGAACCACTTAAATCCTACTTTCTGTATTTAATAAAATCACCTTTTACTTATTAATTAACTGAGAGTATGTGTTAATACCTGGGGGAGCAAACAACTGTGCGTATCTCTCTATCAGTGTTATAGAGGGCGAACAATTTATGAGTTTACCCTGCATAAGATTTATACAGGGTAAAACGGATTTATTTGGGTTTACACCCCATTGGGAGTTGGGCAGCTGAGTGTTAAAGACGTGAACACTTCTGTTAGCTGCTTTCAGGTAAACCTGCAGCTTTGGGGCAAGTAATTCAGACCCTGGGTCTTTGCTGGAGCAGACGGGAGTGTCTGGCTCAGCATACAGGGTGCTGGGGCCCCGAGCTGGCAGGGAAAGCAGGCGTAGAAATAGTCTGAGCACATCAGGTGGCAGCTCCCAAGAGGGTTTCTGTGATCCAACCCGTCACAGGGGGGACCCCAGATGCCCCAACAGTGGGTACCTCAAGGGAACCTCTCCAGAGAATAGCTTCACTCTCAGCTGGGGAAGATCAACCCTCCTCCCCCTTCCCAAGCCCTCCCACCATTCTCCCTCGCTCCTCACCTGCTTACCTCAGGGCAGAAGCCTTGCACCTGGTTCTCCGTGACAATCTGCTTAGTGATGATCACGAAGACGGACGTCCCCTGCGAAGATGGGATGGGGTCAGAGAGATAGGATAGGGAAGGGTGCAGAGACGAGACAGAGCAAGTGAAACAGTCAGGAGCTGGGGCGTGTTGAAAACTGTGTTAAAATCGTGAGCGATCACTTTAAATTCTCTGGGGATTTCCCAGGCCTGCATGCGATCAGCATCAGTCTGCAGAGAGCCAGCCTAGAGTAAGGTGGGTGAGTTGTGCTAGGGAGCAGCCTGCTTTGTCTCACTCTGCTTTCGGTTTTAGTGTGTTAATGTTCTGAGTTCTAAGAAATAAAATCCTGTTATGTGGCAGCCTTCCAACAAGAGCATTTGATATTTTTATTAGGGCTGTCAAGCAATTAAAAAAATTAATTGCGATTAATCACACTGTTAAACAATAATAGCATACTATTTAAATATTTTTGGATGTTTTCTACATTTTCAAATATATTAATTTCAATTACAACACAGAATACAAAGTGTACAGTGCTCACATGATATTTATTTTTGATTACAAGTATTTGCACTGTAAAAAAACAAAAGAAATAGTATTTTTCAATTCACTTAATACAAATACTGTAGTGCAATCTCTATCATGAAAGTTGAACTTACAA